GGCGGGCTGGCCAGGAAATCAGGGCCCCGGCTTCACCCTAGGGGATCTTAGCGGGTCTAGCTTGCCGGGACCAGCCCTGATTTATCAAGGGCTTTTTTGTGCGTCTCTGCCTCCTTCAGGACAATGCCATCCTTTTCAGGGGACCTCCCTGCTCCTGATGGTTTACGCGGGAAAAGGCCAATGGGACCTGAAGGGCTCTGCAGCTAGGGAAGGAGAAAGGAATTCCTGTGATGAAATGTTATTGCTGCTAGCGGGTCTAGCTTGCCGGGACCAGCCCTGATTTATCAAGGGCTTTTTTGTGCGTCTCTGCCTCCTTCAGGACAATGCCATCCTTTTCAGGGGACCTCCCTGCTCCTGATGGTTTACGCGGGAAAAGGCCAATGGGACCTGAAGGGCTCTGCAGCTAGGGAAGGAGAAAGGAATTCCTGTGATGAAATGTTATTGCTGCAGATAGTGTTAAGTGCTCCAGCTGAGGGGGAGGGGAGGCAGGGGTTGGGTGCTATATTTTATATGATTTAAGAACAAAGGAGGCATGGCCCTGTGAATAAGCAGCTCGATTATACTGAACAATCGCTTAGAAAATGAGACAAGTTCGCTGTTGCTTCAGCCAGTTGCTTTCTGCCCTCTTGTTTGCGGGCAATAATTAAGAATTCTAGTTCTCTTACCCTCTTCCTAAGCAAACACGGTGGACTCTATAAATAGCTCAGGTCTTTGCTGCTTGATTCAGTACTCCACGCTTCCTGCTTGTTCTCAGCGCATGCCCTGCAGGCTCCTTACTACTGCTGGAGTCCCAGCTCAAAAGCACAGAGATGACGAACGGCTTGTATGTACGTAGAGAAGGAAGAACTAAAGAGGGAGGGGAGGGAAAGAAGATCTGATTGACTCCTGGAGGCGTGCTCTACTCCCAGGGCAGTTCTGGTGAACCGGAAAACCTCCAGCTTTCCTATGTGTCAAATGCTAAATAAACTCCATATGCTCAACAATTAAACTAGCCTCAGATATGAGTGATAAGAAAGTGCAAATACCAGCATGAGGGAACTTTACTTCCTCTTCATCAGACTAAGGGGAAAGGCAGTGTGAGGAAATTAAGACACTAACCTATTTCCCTTGTTCAGTGTTTTATTTCAAAATAACATATTTGATGCCTTTTTTAAACAAGGATGTAAGTTACTTCTTTGGAATAATAGCAGAACTCAGACATCTTATACAGAACAAGGAACCACTCTTCACCCTTTCCTTGAGATATGGCTATTGGGCTTTCCCTGAAATTTGGCTATTGGAATAAATCAGTCTTTTTACACAGACTAACAGTTTATTTTCTTCTAGGATTGTCTGAGCCCTGATTCCTGATGTTTCTCCTATTCAGATACTATAAACTAGCTGTTCAATATTATTGAATCGAGAAACCAGAGGATTCTGAACCTTGACAGACTGTCAGTCATTTAACTTATTGTAAATCAGTAACCTTTTAATCTGGAAAAACTACTCTTAATCCATCTGGGTAATATAGCATGACACTCCTTCCGTCCCTGAATAGAAATGTGAATGAGGCTGGTCTTGGCACTGTGGGATGGGCAGAGTACCATATGTGAGAGCCACAATTACAGTAAATTGAAACTAGCATGCCAATGTATTAGTCATTACCATTGTAAACAGCTGAGGTAGAGCAGCAGATCCGGTAGGAGGCAGACTCATTTTTTTATTCATTTTCTACCTGATCCTGCCTTTTCCTGTAGCCCATTAATGTGTGCTACAGCATTCATTTCTTTGATCTTGTTTCCTTTGATTTCCTGTCAGGGCTGACCCCTAAGGATGCTTCAGTCCAGGGTGAAGTTAATTGTAACCGGAGATGACTTTGGCTACTGTCCAAGGAGGAACCAAGGAATCGTGGAGTGTTTCCTGGCTGGTGCAGTTTCCAATGTTTCTCTTCTGGTCAATGGCAGTGCTGCCTCAGATGCTGCACAACTGGCAAGAAGGTGAGCTACTTACTTTAGTCCTTTTCACATGCAACCTTTCCAGGCAATAGGAACAGAGCCAACACTGTAACATTAATTGAATTCATAATACTTATAGCCAAATGGAAAAATTCATCTTTCCTAGACTTATGTAAGGAAAACTAGAACTGGTACATAGAGAAACAAGGTGGATGGAGAGAAGTTTTTGAAGTTACACAGAGCCTTTCTTCAGGACTGGGAAAAGTACTCCAAAGTGTGACAACTAAACACGGGCAATGTTCCCTCTAATCTTTTCCATCCACTTGTGGAATTTTTGTATCTATGTGCAGAATATTTTATGTGCACTGTGTGAATGTGCACCACCAGTAGGAACAAAAACATTTAGCCGTGGGTACTCTTCTGGGCAGCTGTGCGGCATTTGAATGTGTCCTGAGTAGCTGCACAAGTTTACAGTGAACACTGAATACATGGTGTAACATATTGTTTAACATATTGTTTACTATGTAATACAAGGTGTAACATAATGTTGCTAGAGTCCATTAAAGGTCAAGTGGGCAGTTAACTTCATTAGTCATAAGACAAGGGAGAGTTGTAATCAGCCATAAATCCAGTGTTCCTACCTACTCCATGATTTGTAGTGTCTAGCACATATGAATTTAAGCTTGCAGACCTGTCTTTTGAAGATATTGTGCACATTTACCAACTGAGTTTACTTCACCCACTTTGTCTCTAATCTCCTGGGAACAACACAGCTACAACATTACTTTATTAGCAAAGTAAACAAAATACACTTGTCTGCACACAGTACTCTAAGGGTACATCCACGCTACAGTTCAGCACCCTCAAGCTTAGTCTGCACTATGAGTTTTGCCCAAAAAAGAGGCAATGCAAATTAAGAGCAGATTAGCATTTTCTTGTGCTTCATTTGCATAATGTCTTTCAATCTGTTTTCACGCAAGGGGTTTTTGCGCAAAAACAAGCAGTGCGGCTGTGGCCGTTTTGGGCAAAACCCCTTTTTGCGCAAGATCCTTATGCCTCTCCAGGAGTGTAGCTGTAGCCTCAGGTTCCTGGTAAGGGGCTGTTGAATTGCAGTGCTGATATTTGGGTTGGGACTAAAGTCTGAACTCTATGACCTCCTTCCCTCCTGTTTACGCTTGAGCAGCCCAACCCCCACCAGATTCAGATAGCTGGTCTGGGCCAATCTCAAGTTTTAATTTCAGTGTAGACATACCCTAAATGACTCTGCCTCCTTTTTACTACTACTTTTTACATTTTTTCCCTCATGAATAAGGGGCAGAATGTTTGTTGTTATTCCAGAATGTTGGTTGTTATTTCATTGTTGCAGTATGAGTTTGTTAATCTCTTGCTTTCCAGAGAGCTTCAAGGGATGCCATCTGATGAAAAGTCCATGCTTTAAAAAGCAAATAGCTTTACCGAACTGCTTATGCCTTAGGCCAGGTCTACACTAGACCCAGCAGCCCGGCTTAAGGTATGCAACTCCAGCTACATAGAATACATAGATGGAGTCAGTTTACATAAAACTGAGTTTGGCAGCATCCCCACAGTGGGAGGTGAATGGGAGCAAATACTCTCCTCAGCATCCTTTACTCCTGGCAAGAGCAGGAGTACCAGATGTCTGTGGGAACTTCCTCTAAATTTGATTTAGGAAGTCTTAAATCGAACACTGGAAGATTGATCACAGCAGCGGTGATTTTCCACAGATTGAAGTCATGGCATTAGCTTAGATTCTTAGAACTGAACAAATTGTAAACATCTCACTTATTTTTACCATTTATGCTGTATTACTTTTTGAACTTCACTCAGGTTTCACTCTCTGGTCCTCAGGCACTAGTGCAATTCTACAATATTTGGGCTGCATACCTATGCAATTCCAACCAAGAAACCATATTTTTAAACATTTTTAATGAAAGCATTTTACGCATACTCATAAAACCATTGATAAAACACATGCACACACACAAAGAAGTTTGGTACTTTAATGATTTTATGTACACATCCCTGATTACTGCAGGGGCTCTTTAAGAAACACTGTCACCCTTGACTCTGTATTCACAAACCCTTTCAGGCAAAGTATTATTTGCAACTTATTTAGAAGGAAAAACCCAGCTTATACCCCAACTCCAGGCTGGGCTAGCTCTTGGAAACAGATGTATTTCCTGAAACAGAGGCCAACTTTATAAAATGCACCTGGAAAGTACTGAATAGGCTAAAAAGTGTCTTTTTAAAAAGAGGGCTCTGAGATCTTGTGTCCCATTTCCCAACTCCAGTTGTTCCCAGGGGACAGCTTTATACTAACAGCTTCCTGCTAGTTCTCTGTGAGCACCCAAATCCGTCTTTGGAAGAGGTTGGGATATACATGTGTGTTTTGCATGATGTGTGTATAACTGCAGCCACATTGAAAGACAGTCATTAAAAACAATCAGGGAAGATGCCCAACTTGTAGCCCTACAACTGTGGCCCTCTACCCACAGATACGACCTAACACACGTGGCACCAGCATAGTTTTCCCACCATCATGTCAACCCTGAGCCAAGAATCTTTCCTAAGGGCAAGATGGGAGTTCAGTCTAACTGCTCCTTTAGTCCATGATCTCTCTGCCTACAAGGGACCAATTAATTTAGTATCAAGTTTGTTTGTTAGAATGACTTGCAACTGTTGACAGCAGAGTAGATCAGGTAGGATGTGTCAGGAGAAAGTATAACCTAGAGGCCTGCTTATTAGTAAATTAAAAAAAAAGTTGTATAACTGTGAGATTAAGGTAACACTTTCTCAAGATAACAGATGTATCATGGAAAGCTTTAAACCCTGGCACTCTGGTGATAGTCTGGTATTATAGCCTTTCAAGCCCTATTCACTGGCAGGTTTTTAAATATAGTCTCCACCTGGCCTAGTTTCTGGTTACATACACTTCCGGAGACCATGTGACTACAGTTTAAAATGGCATAACTGAATGCAGGTCACAGCATTTATACTGTCAGCTGACTACGTGTTCTAGAACAGATTTGGAGGGACATTTGACAGTACAAATTACAACCCTCCTTTCCCTTCCTTTATTTTATCAAAGCAAACGGGTTGCTTTGGATTCTAAACATGTGAAATTGATTTAAATCATTTGAGGGAAAACAAGCTTGGTAGCCTTGGAAACATTTTAATACTAAATAACGGTAGCCAAGGACCTGAAAACAGATGAATAACTTTAAGCAGATTTAGCAGTCCCATCTAATTCAACGTGATTCATATACACAGATGTTTGTAGGATCTTATTGTTTATAAAGCTCCAAAGTGAAGCTCCCACAGGAGAGCTTAATTCAGGTAGTGTTTGTGCATGTTGCCACAATAAATGTAGCATCTGATTATGCATAAGAACCCTTTTAGCTCTTTTTTCTGATTGAGATGTTAGCTGGTTGCTATAAAGGCTCAAACCAGCATTCTGTCAGAAATCTGATTTTAAACAAGTCTGAGGCTGTGAAATTCTTAAAGTCCGTAGTGAATCCTATGCCAAAATATTGGTGCAGGGAGCAGGAAAAGGAGGACAGTTTGCATGACTGTCTATGTAATTCCAGATTCTCTCATGTTTGGAGATTTTGAAGTTTAATTCTACTATGATTTTTGGTTGCCTTTAAAAGAAAACTACAACATTCTTTCCTGGTTTTCTATCCAAGCCCGCAAAGTAACTGGCAAATATTTGCAACCTGAATTCCATAGTGAAGTTTTCAGCCTGAGAATGGAGAACAATTGTGGTGAGGTGCCTGTACCTTTTGAACTTATCTTTGGATTTAGAGAAGGATCACTGAAGTAATTAGCCTCAACTTCATTATAGGCAGGCAAAGCTTAACTAATTAAGCACAAACAAATGGCTACTCTTCTCTCTCAAATATCACCTTTCAAAATGAAGTCTCTTCTCCAATTTATCTCATCAAGTGGGTTTTTCCCACAAAAGCTTATGACTGTGTATACTTTGGCTAGTCTCTAAGGTGCCACAGGGCCACTTGTTGTTTTTCTCTCTTAAGCATCCCATCCTTCATTGAAATGGTAGGAGTAAAAGCCCTTCCAATTGGAATTAGTTTATTTTTGTTTCCCACTGGGTATGTGTAAATGAACTCTTATTATATCTCTAGTCAGGGTATGAATCTACCCTGTTGCAGGCTTAGTGTCTGCATGGACCCCACTGCATGCAATAGCAGGTCCCTAGGACACTTTGATCTAGCTACAGCGCTGGGGTGGGAGAGAGTGATCGAAGAGCAAAACGAATCATTAATAAGAATTAACACGGTCCATGTGAAACTCAGTGTGAAGCACCCCTGTGTGTGGTAGATTCATATCTGAGCTTTCCATGAACTAAATGTTCAGGCAAGCCTGATGTAATGAAGTGTGTGTCATTCTAGACTTCATTTCACCATCACTTTGTTATGCCTCCCTTGGAACATCCTATGTTGCCTTTTGCTGTGGTTGGGCTATTCAGCAGAAGAAACAGAGCAGGTATTAGCAGATCTTAATAGCAGCTATAAAGCAAAACAAGTGACTATAGAGCATGACGAATCGGACCCATTTTAATTATATTGCTCTCCTTTATTTATTAATTGAGTCCCATATCAACTGCTCCATTATCTTGCTTGGGATTGATGTCAGACTGATAGACCTATAATTATTCAAGTCATGTCATTTACCTTTTTCAAATATTGAGCAATATTAGCTTTTCTTCAGTTTTCTGGAACTTCTCTGGGGTTCTAAGACTTAATGAAAATGAACACTCACAGTTCAGCTCTATAAAATCATGAATGCGAGTTTATTTTAACCCACTGGTTTAAAATGTCTAACTTTAGTAATTGCTGTTTAACATCCTTTTAGATACTC